GATAGTAATGAAAGTGCACTTTAGATGGCATGATCAGAGGTCCCATTTATTATGTGACATTTGAACATAAAATAGGAAAGTGAGCCAGCCCATGAGAAGGGTTGAGGGAAGGGCATTCCTGGGAGAGGGAATGACAATCACAAAAACCTGAGGCAGGAAGTGAAAAAAAGGCTAGAGCAGAGATGGGAAACAAGGAGCAGGATGGTGAGAGGAGGCTGGGGTGCCTAGGATCCAGATCAAACACGGTAGGACCTTACAATCCCATTGTAAAAGTGAAGGGTTTTAAGTGAGCATGCTGTAGGATCTAATCATACCCTTCAAGACTATTTTGGAGAATAGATTGGTGGTATAATCAGGGGCTAAATTAAGCGAAGAAGCCCTTGTAGTAACACAGAGTGAGAGACAATGGTGATTCAGACAGGTGAATTTTTGATGTTTTCAAGATCCATCCTGAAGATATATTCAAGACTTGGCGATGGATTGCATTAGAAGGTGAGGTAAGGAGGAGTGTTAAAGATGATTCTCAGGTTTTTGTTGACTGGATGAATGGTGGTGGCATTTCCCGAGATAAAAAAGATAGAATAAGGATGTTGGGGGTGGAAGAGGAAATGAAGAATTCCATTTGGATATATGAGGCTTGAGATGGCTAACCGACACTGAAGTAGCAGTATTTATCAGGTTACTGGGCATAGAATTCAAGGCGAAGGAAAGAGGCCTGGGCAGGAGTATAAATTTGGGAGTCACCAGCATACAGTAATGCCAGTTATTGGGGCACCTGGGTGGCTTAGTCACTTCAGCGTCTGCCTCCAGGTAAGGTCATGGTCCCAGGGTCCTGGGATTGAGTCCCGCATCGGGCTCCCTGGTTGGTGAGAATCCTGCTTCTCCTCCCTCTGCTCCTCCCACCGTGCGCTCTCTCACATAAATAAAATCTTTTAAAAAAAGATATGCCAGTTATTGATTGCCTCTTAGCTCCATATTCATCCTTCGTTGGCTCTGCAGAATTGGGTTGGGACCTTTGAATATTTTTTCCTTTGCCAATTAACAGGATATTAAACTTTGTTAGCAGAGGATATCGGGGACACCCTGCCAAGAGGAAAGGTACTTCCCTTTCTGGTTCTGGTGTGATTGCCCCAGCACAGCTTCTCCAGCACGCAGCTCCTGCAGTGCATGTTCGCCAGCAGCACGAAGAGGCCAGCAGCTTTCCCCAGCACTCACCTTGGGTAGCTTTGTAGTGGAGTGCCTCTGATAAAACACCTCCCTGAAGAGATTTTCCCAGCATCCTAGAGGAAGGATTTCCAGCAAGTTCCACCAAGTACAGCACCCGATGACTTCCCTGCCATTCAGTAAACCATGGCTCTGCCCTCTCCAAAAAGGTCTGATATCAGCTCTGGGGAAGGGGCTGTTCTTCCTTGGATCCTCTATCTCAGTCCTGGGTGGCGCTTCCTCTATGTGGTCTTCCCACATTCTCTCTCGTTATCACTACTGTTTGCGAGCCAGTCCCTTATTGTTACAATGCAACTACGATTAAGTTAACTTATATTAAAGATAGAAATTGTTCAATTACTACTTTTTTGTTTTGTCTTGACTAATACAAATGACTCAGTGCAATTCAGGAACACTCACCGAAGAAGGAAGCAGCACATACTGCTGTGTCAGAAGGTCCCAAGAAGTCTGTTATTTTCCATTTTGAACGCGTGAGATATAAAGGCACGTGGGATAGCTGGCCTCCTTCTCAGGCCCTTGTGCATGTTTGCACGATCTTCTGAAGCCAAAATGTTTGAAAAACACATCCTGCCTCCACTATGTGGAACACGCTCCCAGTTTCACCTTGAGTACTCCAGGCTCCTGCAGACAGACATCCCTGAAGGGCTTCTTCAGTGCCGCCTCTAGACCTTGAATCTGTTGGTTTTATTGCAACTCACACCTACAAGGGTTGTCGGCCTGCCAATGCCAGTATCGGGGACATGCGGAAACAAGGGACAGAGGCTGCCCATGCTTGTGCCTCCCTGTGATCCCTGCCAGGACACTGAAATGCGTCTGGGTTGCGTAAGACCGTGATAGGAGAAAAGATGTACAGGGCTTTCAGCTACTGTGGAATTCTGGGCCCTTAGCAAGGGGTCAGCTCAAACCCCATCCTAAAAAGGCAGGATGGTCATGTGAGGAAGTGGAGGAGCATGACCGAATGGCTACTGCCTATAAACCCCCCAAACTGTGGGGTAGTTGAGCATCTGGAGAACCTTCCACCTAAGAAACATCACTTTCTCATACATTATCATGAGGATACCTTGGTTGAACCTTCTGGAAATCCTACGTCTGGATCTCAGTCCACAATTGCAGGTTATCCCAGGGCTGCTGCTGCCATCAAGGAGTCAGGATTGTCATCCCAGCAGAACACAGCTCTGACAGGGTTCAAAACCAGACAGTAAATCCCATGTCTGTGGAATCCTCCGGGCTAAAGGCCCAGCCAGTGTAAGTGGTGGAACATTCTGGCATATAGATGGTATTCCTCAACATCCTACCTCTTTGAACCAGCGGGAATTTCCAGACAGAGCTGTATTTGGAAGTATACAATCAGGCAGCTGGGTAGAACATTTCCTGAATACGTCTGAAGGCAGATACGTGCTGCCTTGACTTTCTGGGAGTGCCAAGTGAATAAGGTCATCCTCATTTCGGCCAATAGTGATGTGGTCAGCTGACCAGGGACGTCCCTATTTTTGTTAGGAAACTCTTGGTGAATGCAGTTTCTGGGAAAAGTATGTTGATTATCCCTTCCAAGGGTAGAGGAGGGTGAAGCTAACTTATCTGTTTGGTGGGGCTTTGCAAGAATCCTCTGCTGCCATTGCAGAAGCAGTCACGGGAGACATGGAGCTTAGAAAGAAGGGCTGAAAATGCTCTTCAAATCCTAGCAGGCCAGGTAAGAAAGCTGAATCGGAAAATCTGGGACCTTGGTGCAAAGAGCACCTATCTGCCTAAGAAGCAGAGGGGGACACTGCTGGACGGAGCATCGCCGCCAGGGCTGGCTACCAAACGCTGGATGAGGTACAGCCAGAAGTACCTTTAAACCAGCTTTAAGATGCCAAAGACAGGGCTGTCATGAGTGTTGGGGGTGGGGGGTGGTGATGACGCAGGGAGAGTGGGGACAGTAGGCACCCACGACAGATGGGTGCATAGACAGATGGGTCCTCAGGGCAGTGTAAGCTGAGGCAGAGCTGAAGGCAAGGATGTAATGCTGGAACTCACACTAATAACGGCACTTACAGAAGGTGCTACACGTTCTCTGGACTTAAACCTGATGATACCATCCAAACCACTTACAAACATAATAGAGGTGTAAGGATTTCAATTCCAACTCTTAACTGATTAATTTCTTTTAATGGAGCTCAAGCTCTAAGTTTTGTGGTGCTTTGGGTTTCTATTTCTTAATTTTTCCATCATAAAGGAGAAGTATGTATCCATCTATTCAAAAGATCTACTGGAGCTAGGCCACCTGCCACGATCACATGACACAGGAAAAAACCCAGGGTCTGTAATACATTAGGAGAATCTTCTAAAAGTCATGGTTTGTGGAAGGGTGATTCAGGTTGGCACTGAGATCACAGAAGGGCAGAAAAGGTACATCACAGTCTGATTACGGGTCCCTTCTATGAAGTACTTCTGGATGGTTCAAGACTATTCAAAGTCTTCCCTGCAGTTGAGTCGGACTTCTTCCTGGTGCACGACAGTCCTGTTTCCACTGAGTTCCAGGTGGTTGGAGGTGGTGGAATCCCAGGATATTTAGATCATGTCACTGCTCAGGAAGAACAAGCGTGTGAAGGAGGAAGTCCTCAGCAGTCAGGACTGGACTGCCTTGTTCCTAAGTCTGAACTTACTGTTACTGTGTGTATATGGGGGAGGGTGGCATTCTGGAGGGGGAGGGAAGAGCTCTGCCATCGGATGTAATAGATAACCCAGATCTACGGCTTTTGTAGTGACTGTTAGTTTTTCCTTGCATTTAGACTTCAGAAGAAGAAATTCATCTAAGGGAAAAATGAGATACCTAATGTTCACAGCTAACAAGATCATTGTAGAAATGACTGGAGGAGGGAAAAAAAGGCATATAATTACCCTTGCTCAGAACAAGAACTACCTTCATTAGCATCCTATTTATATAGGGGCTTTATTTTAAAGTTATGTTAGATATAAAGTTTAAAATTATGTTTAAAAAAAATGGAGAACACTAAAACACATGACAGGAAAAACAAAATGGTAAGGAATCAAAAGATAGGAAGTCAAAGATAAGTAAACAAAAGTGAAAGAAACATGCTGTAAGTGAAAGAGATCAAAAGGAAAAGTTAGTGAAGCTAGTCACGAGGTCATCTCCAAAATGGTGACAAAGGAACAAATAGGCCCAGAGCCTAAGGGCCAAAAAACCCAAGCCAGGCACACAAGACACCCTAAGCTAAACGAAAAAGCCTTACATTCAGTTCTTCTCCTGAGGCCAGGGGCATCCTCCCCCCGTGGCCAGGATGCACATCTGTGTGGCTAGGCCCAGAGGCTGCAGGCGTCTAACTCAGCCATCCCAGATCATCTCACCACACCTACGGGCCAGGTAGCGACCATTACTCGCCTCCATCACTGCCCACGAGCGGGGTCCTTCTCCACCTAGTGAACGTGTGTCCCTCACTGAGAAGGGTAGTACACTGGGGACCCGAGCTGGCTCCTTAATGCTCTGGGATTACTTAAAACCTACACATAAAGAAAGTCTTTCTAATATTGCTTCTAGAGCATCTGCCTGTCAAATTTTCACAGGGTGAGCAAGGTGAAGCCCTAAGCCTGAGAGGTGGGACACTGAGCTGCCAAGAAGGGAGGGCCCCACTGAATACCTGTGAGGACTTTGGAAAAGGGCCCTCAGAATCCTGACTTCTACTTACTAGCCGCGTGCCCTTGAGGAAATTACAGCTCTGTGAGCTTCAGTTTCCACTCGTTGAGAATTACTGGCGTATTGTTACCGTATGACAGTAAGTAGGTCAGGGACATACTTGGCACAGGTGATGCAGTGCTTTAAAAGTCAGAATAATCGGAGATTTAAGGAAGCAGTTGGAGGGCGGCATAGCTACCCAGCACGTCAGGACTCACCTTTCTGGGTTAATCCATGGAGTGACTCCAAGGGACATCTTGATGAGGATACTCATTAGCCAGGAAGGTGTCAAACTCTGCTTCCAGAGGAAGAACAACTCAAGTCCATTTTCCTCAAGGACTGGTCTTAACCACTGAGGCCCACATAAGCTTAGAGCCATTTCTCTCTCCCTTGAAAGAAGTGGTGAATGACAAGGGATTCCTTTAGGAACCACCTGACGTGGTTGGGAGCTACAAAGTGACTGTGCACCTGTGGTATCTTCTTCCCCTGGAGACCTCTCAACACGAGAGGGGAGAGCTCTGTGCCTAGACTGGGTGGGCACACTCCTACCTGGAACAGAGACAAGGCTAGAGTAACTGCAGAACGGCCTTCACAGGGCCCACGTCCCTTTTACTTCAAGCCAGGGCAGAAGTTTGGCTGCCGAGCTCAGGAAAAGAGCCTGGTTTATGTCGTTGAGCGTCCCAAAACACACCACATTGCAAGGAGAAATCAAGACATAGTTTGCTAGCACTGTGGGGGCAGAGCAGAGATGAGAATAAGTCCCTAAAAAAGAAAGGCACAGCACCCAGGTTCTAATTCTTCACTTTAATGCCATGTGAGGGTCCTGGGGCTCCATGCACCAAAGCGCTTACAGACAGGCAGCGAATGAACACAGGAGGTGTTATACCATGTACACAAACCTACCACCACACAGAAGGAAGACAGTGGGCCCAGGTGACCTCCCATGTTCCAGAGGCGACCGGTTCCTACACCCAGTCTTTGTTCCCGCCTCCTCAACCCTGCCAACCCACCCGTCTCCCAGTTAACATATGTGTACATATATGTTTCTTCCAGAATTCCAAAAAGTGCCTCTTTCACCCCATGTCCCCACGCTCCGGCTTCTGATGAATAAAGCCTCCCCCTTTCAAGGATCACAAGGCAGGCACTGCCTTCATGAACGAGCCCCAGTGAAAGGTACCTAAGAAAGCTTAATCACTTGGAATCAAATACAGACAGATCCCAGGTAGAGGTAAAATTCTAACTGGGATCAAAATGCTCAGTGAAGCAGTTTTGTTCTGTTGCTGCTGTCATTCGTCTTAACCTCTTCAGGATCCAGCTTGGACCAAGGTTGCACATTGAGGCTCACCCCACTTTGTGGCTTGCAAATGTCATTCCTCTAGTCCCCAACAAGCAACCCAGAGCAGGAAAGCTGTGTCACCTGACCAGCCTGAGGCACAAGGCTCCAACAGCTCCCAGAATACCCTAAGCCCCAGGAAGAAAGAACAGAAACTTTCAGAGCACAGTTGACTCTCTGCACAGGATGGGCAATAGACAGCCTCGTGAGTTACCCCAGAGGTAGAGTAAGGATGCTGGCGATTCGTCTATCTCTTCTATTTAGAGAGTTACCCAAAGAGCTCCTCCAGTCTGGCGTGCTGTCATGTTTCATTGTGGTTTTGTTTCGATCTTATTTGTTGCCATTAAGTTTTTCATTTTTGCGGAATTTTGTCATGGCTGCTATTGCACCATACAACCCTATCCCCTAAAACTTTCACCTTCCCAGCCAGCGAGCACGACACCAGGGAGAAAGGTGCCCAAAGCCAAACATAACGGAAGCTCCAAAGGCAGGCACTTGGTTTAACCCATCAATATTACACACAAGAATTCTATGAAAACGTACTCCCTTGGATTGGGAACAAGCATTCATCCTTCGGAGCCCTCCTTCCTAACCCAACCTTTTTTATACTCTAGACCTGACCATTTAGACTTGAGAAGGGATCCAACTGGGAAAAGTCACTTCCTCAGATACGGCCTTTATCTGGAGGCCATTATCACAAACCACCACATCCAAAAGCACTTTTCATCTTGGCCTTGGCTTCTCATCAGAGAAGGGCCAAACTGGGCCACTGAATTCTTTTACTTCATTTGAAAAGAGCTCGAAGCTGGCTGCCAGTATCCCTGCTCTGCCTGGTCTACTGGCCCAGAGCCTTGTCTCTCCCACAATGGCACAGAGTACACCACTGTGAGGACAACACAGGGCCAGATGGTCCAAAGGAGTGTCTCTAGCAAGGGGACTGGGGACAGTGTCCTCATCCAGCATTCCTGTAGCCCTAAGCTAGTCTTCAGGGCCTATCTTTGAGCAAACTTACATTTGAGCCTACCAGTCACTCTGTCTTCCATGTTTGGACTCTAACCAAAATACTGTGATGCCCTGTGCCAGCAGTGGGAACGAGAAGGAGCCAAGGCCAGATAACCGAAAGCACTGGGATTAATTGTCTCCTTTCTACTCACACCAGCTTTCTCCCGAAGAGCTTGCCTCAGTGTCTGTCCAAAAATGAGTTTGCATTAGGCAGTAACACCGATCGGAGCAAATTCAGTGAAGGACTTCTATTAGAACAAGACAAGAGCCATGTTGTTGGAGTAAGCTTTAAGCAGGGACATCAACTCCAGAACAGTGATGATTCAGTTGTGGATGAGAACAACAGAGAGAACACATATCTCAGAAGCTCAACAACTGACTTTACCTTCCTCTTAGAACACCGTGTGGACCTCTGTTCCACCACATGACGTGGGAGTGCAAAACTGCGCCCCGCAACCCGTTCCACAGAGGGCCAGGAGATCACTGCCCCACTGAGGGGTTCAGCGAGGTCCCAGGACTTGGCCTTCTCTTCCTCAGAAGGATGCAGACATCTTCAGCTCCCCCTCCCCCTACCTCATCAATCTGGTCTTGTAGGACTGAGACCAATGAGGCTGTCCTTACCTGTGTTTTACATATAAAAAAATCTCCCTAACAAATACCCAGGACCGTCAAGCACAAGTCATGATCACAGGGAGAAGCCCTTAATGAAGCACAGGAATGTTACGTTCCCACTGCTGGTGCCGCGCAGCTCTTCTTTCAGGAGACGCATGTCCACCGCCTGCTTAACTGCCCTGGTCTGAAGACGGAGCAAGAAGGAAATGCAGTGGGAGCAGGACCCTGTGGATCTTTTTCTCTGTCTGAGATGTGGAGAGTACAGCGTGATGGAGGTTTGCTACAACTGTCCTACAGCTCCTGGTATAGCTGTGCCTCCCACCCAAGCCTTTGTTTGCTTCCTCAGAACAGACACTTCTCCTAGGAGAACGTGAGCAGGGTAAAGCAGCAGGGTTTAAAAAAGAGGGGGTTCCTATCTACAGAGGTTCACCACAAATTGGATGCTAACACATGAAATGGCAGCCAAAGAGATATTCTGAGCCTCCAGAAAGGATGTTACATCTCAAAGATAACAGAAGATCTAGGCAACCTGCCTGCTTGACTCAGGGAATCTTCGAAAGGAACCTCTGAAGTCTACATTACAGCCCTGAGAAGATAACCCTTCAAGCAAGGAAGGTTGGTGGAAGGTAGGAGAAGCTGCGGCCCTAAGGCAGGGCTGTAAACATTGTGCTCTTCTAAGGCCAACCTGGTGCACGGCTTTGGCAACTATGGTTACATCTCCAAAAGGTGGTGAAGACTATGTTTCAGGAGGAAGAGTCTCTCCACATCCTAAAACAAAGCCTGGAACTATCCCTGGGGGAAGAGGGAGAGAAAATGCTTCTCCTTCAGTCAGGGGCTGTGGGGTAGGTCCTTGGGTAACCCCCATCGCAATCCGTGTTCATACCTGTGTGCTAGGCGCACGCAAGGGTGCCCTCGAACAGGGCTGAGGAAGGGATCATGCCTCTATTAGTCTGGTAACGTGGCACTAAGGGCAGAAACTCTCTTGCAAGACCAGGAGAGTGACAAAACCTCTCTGGACTTCCTGGTCCAGCCCTAGCTCGCCAGACCCCATCAGCCTCAGGAAAAGACTGCCGTGCCCTGAGGAAAGGTCAGGAGAGCGCGGGTGCAAGTCCCTCCGGGCCATAAGCCCTGAGCCTGACCTCAAGGTACAGCCGGGAGGCTGGAGCTGCCAGGAGACCTCCTTCCCCTTGCAGCTGTGCCTCAGGACTTGGTCCTCACCTCAGCGGGTCTGGGGCAGTTAGTGTCCCTCTCAGGATCCTACTCCCAGAGCCACTAAAGAGAACAGACGCCCTCCCTGACAGGCCTCTGTCCCTAGCAGGGCTACTCACCACCACGTGATCTTGAACTCATAGATGGGACGCTTGCAGTAGTAGTGGTTGATGAGGTGCTTGTCACACACCCCGATGCACTGGTGGTCCACGACGAGGCCCTGGGCTGAGAGGTCCGTGACCAGGCAGTGCAGTAGGTCATAAACATCAGCCACAGCCTCCCAGGGCCCAAAAGACACATCCACCTCGCAATGGTGCTCAAAGAGCTGCCCATCGCTCTCGCTCCGCTCGAAGCGCAGGGAGTTGAGAAGCGGACACTCGTAGGGGGTGATGGGCATCTCCTCCTTGAAGACACAGACCTTGAGCTTGGCAAAGCGGGCCTTCCGCTGTACCGCACGCAGCCGGGCAATCTCCACGATCCGCTCCAAATGGTCTGTGGGGGTGAAGATGGCACCGTCAGTGGGACAAGGGTCAGGAGGTTGGGGCGCGGGAAAGGCAGGGTCAGGGCACACGGAGAGAGCCCCAGTGAAGGCACGATCCAACAGGGGAGAGAGATCCTGGGGAAGGGACTCTTTGGGCTCATGAAGGATGTAGACTTAAACAGGGATCATGGATCACCATGGCAAAAGGAAACCAAAACGATGGAATGAGGACAATCCTTTTGAAATGGGATTTGATGATGTCATAGGCAAAGTGGGTCCTATTTAACCTGAATCGTCCCAGTGTGACTGGGAGGGGAGGGCAGAAAGGGAAGCAGGAATCTCTCCAACCTTGAGCAATGCAGATGAATCTCAGACCCACTTCTTCTGGTGAAGACCTGGGCCCAGACAGATGCCTTCAACCCTCCTTTCCCACACCTTGACCACCCTGGGCAGTTGACCCCTCACCTTTGTAATAGGGCATGAGTCCCAGAAATGCCTGGCGCACTTTCTCCCCCTTCAGAGGCTGCATGTTCTCTAGCTGCTCCAGGAGGGGACCGATGGCATAGTACTGGGCCTCTTTGTACACAGCCCGTACACGCTCCCGGGGCGGCAGGTCGCCTGAGCGCAGAAAATTCAGCACATCTCTGAGCAGGAAGGAAAGAGAGGTGCTGAGAAGGAGCTAATGCACCTGGGCAGTGACACATGGTAGTTAGAGCACAGAATCTGGAACCAGACTACCAGCTGCGTAATCTTGGGTAAGTGAACCTAACCTCTCCGTGCCTTGATTTTCCCATCTGTAAAATGAGGGAAAATTGTAAAAGAAAAAAAACTACCCCATAATGGGATCAAGGGATTCAGTGAGTTTATAGATAAAAAGTGCCTGGAAAATACCTGGCACTGGGTAAGCCCTCAGTATGCATTAGCAGCTCTTATTATCAGCGTCATTACTATTAAAATTACTATTAGGTATATTTTTTATTTTTATTAGGTGTTGTTATTATTGGGTATACATAGGAATAATGGAAAGATGTGATTTCTGGGCTCCTTAATCTAGATATTTAAATTGAGGTATAGTTAATACGCAATCAAGGTATACAGTTTGATTACGACCACCACCTACACCAAGATACAGAACATTTCCATCTCCTTAAAGTTTTCCTCTGCCTCTTCCCATTCAAGCCCCAAATTCTTCTATCAACAAAGACCACTTTTGCCTCATCTTGACGTTCATATAAGCGGAAGCACACAGTACGTTCTCTTCTATGCTTCCCTTCTCTCCTTCAACAGAATGCTTCTGAGATTCATTCCATACGTCGTGTGTGACAAATGAGGTGGCCCGGCACTGAATGGACAGCCTGTCGTTTATTTACCAATTTTCTTGCTGATGGACAGTTGCGTTGTTCCCGGTTTGGGGCTCTTATGAGTAAAGCTGTTATGAACATTCCTGTATAAGACTTCCTGGGGACACACGTATCAACTTCTCCTGGGAATGTATTAGGAGTACACCTGTTCGCTTGTAAGGTGAAGTGCGTGCTTAACAAAATGGTTGTAGCGTTTTACATATTCACCAGCAACGTACAAGGGTTCCCCATCTTCTGTACATCCTCGCCATTAGTCTTATCTTGTAGCTACAAAGACATCAAATGACTACCCCCAACACCTGAACAAACTGGTTCTTGGGTGAATAAAATCACATACTGCATTTTCTTAAAATAAAAATTCAGTTCTTTTAATTCTATCTTCAGATTCTTTAAGTGCTAAGAGTAATCAGATCCTTCACTGGTAGGTGTGGGCGAGTCTTGTCTGTAAAGATGTGTGAGTAAACCCCAAGATCAAGATGTTGCCTCAGTAGTAGTCTATGACCATGATGTAATACCAGCTAACACTAACTAAGTCCTGATCTGTGTCAGTCATTGTCCATGTGTTATCCCATTGAATCCCTTCAATGACATTGTGGAGTAAGTGCCATTTTGGGTCCACTTAATAAATGAGGAAAAAGAGGGGCTCGGAGAAGTTAAAGAACACTCTTACTCAAGGAGCCACAGCTAGCAGGAGCCCAAATGCAGACCTGCTTGACTCCAAGCCCATATCCAAAGTGGTCAGACTCCAGTCCCAAGTGTTTCACTCATCAAGCAGTCTTCATGGTGGGTTCTGGGAGCACAGGAACCACACCAGCAGAGAAATGTACCTGACCAAATGCCTTAAACACCTGTACTATTTTATCTGAGTCTTTAGGCAACTTCATCTGCTGATGAGTCATAGGCCACGGAGTCCAGCAGCCCGAGGATAAATGCTACAATATCCTGCTTTCTGCCACACCCCTGCCTGCCTCTGACCCTCTCCAGCTAAGGCCACCTGGGCACAGGCACATCAACCTAGAGCCAAACCCTGCTCCTCCTCCCCACAACCCTTTTCCAAATTAGCGCTCTAGGATCTTAAGCAAACCTTGGTCTGCTCTGAAAAACATAACCCTGGGGCAAGGCCCAGCTAAGAGTACTGTGGGAGCTGCCAGCTGGGGCCAGCACTTTCCTCCCCCAAACAGCCTGCAAACAAAAATCTTTTTATAGCTCTGCAGAGCGATGTGACACTTTGTTTTCTCAGCATCGGAGGCAGCTGACAGCCCAATGGGGACACCCAGATGGTTCAAAGTAAATTGTTTGACCAGAGACTCCTTTCTGAGGGTAAAAATGACCCTTCTCCCAGTGCGGGCAATCCGAATCAGAGGCCAGCACGAAGATGTAGTGGCTGGAGAGTTTCTGCCTCCCTAGGCAATCTGTTGAAGGTCGAGAACCACGTTCGTTCTCTAGTCATTCCAAAGTTGGACTGAAGGGCCAAAGAGCTTTCGCCACATGCTCTGGAGGGACCTGGCCAGAGGTCACAGATTATGTAAGCGGCGTGGCAGGCCTACGAGGCAGCCACAATTATTTCTCATTTCACAAATAAGGAAACTAAAACATAAAGTCTTTAAACTGTTTATGTGTGAGGTGTCAGAAGTCCTTTCTTGCGAAGGTCTATTTTCTTTTTTGAGATTGTGTCTTTCCATGTTTTAGTATTAAAATGACACTCACAATTAAAGGTTTTTTTTTTTTTTTGTAAAGACTTTTCTTGGCAAAATTAAAGGATGGCAATCACATATTGGCCCTTCCCTCACCTTTTTTTTCATTTGTTTTAAAGTATTGAAGGAAGTCTGACGACCATGGTCACACACCATGTCCCTCCCTAATGGCAATGTGGAGCCCCAGAATCTGAATCTGAGGATTTCCCCCAAGAAGCGGTGTTGGAACTCCCCCACCTCCTGGTGGGATCACATCTATTCCACACAGATGACAACTTTCTGGCATTAAATTTCACAGGACAGAAGCAGTTCCACCACATGCAGCCACTGGGTGTCACCTGGGATTTCTCTGGCTGTCCTCATCTCCTCTGGGAAAATAACAATTTATCTTTTTTATCTCATTCAGCAAACACATTTATTAAATTCCAGCAGCACATTTGTTATCTCCTCTTCTAGGTACTGTAGAAGACACTAACGCCCCATACTGAAGCCCAGGACACTTACTAGGACTACAAAGCTGATCACAGAGGGATAAACATACCCAAAGTGCGTGCCATCCCGGTCAATGAAGTACCGGCCCTCGGCGTCGGTGGGGATGTAATGCCGCCCGCTGAACATGGCCGCCAGCATGGTGTCCTCATAGCGCCGCAGTGTAGACAGGCGTGTGGTGAAGTGAGCCCCTCCAATGTTAAGGGGGACAACCTCAGGAAACTGGAAAGGAACCACCGGCACTTTCAGCCAGGCACTGGGGAATGAGAGCAGGGGCTGCTCTGTCTGCGTCTCCTTGGGTCTCATTAGTGCTGCACCATTCAGGTACCCAAGGCTAAAATACGGGAGTCTTTCTGAATGCTCTCCTCTGTCGCCCCCTTCCCCCATACTCCTCAGTTGCCAAGGCGACCCCACTGTTCCCCAATACCATTCAATCAGGGCTCCCCACCCCAGTTCTACTATCTCTGCTCTAGAATGAATTTACCATTTTTATGTCCTTGCTTATTCTGTCTTCTCTGTCCGGAATGTTCTTCCCAGTCTCCCTCTGTCCATCTAGCAAATGCAATTGCCCTGAATGTGGTATGTGTTGTTCACTGCACAAGGGCACCTGTCTTCCAGTGATCTGCCAGCCCAGCTGTGTGCCCTTTATCTAATGCACACCAGGGCACCGTATAAGTTAGCGTCATCTGTTCACTCTAGAAGCTTCTCTTTAAGGTTCCTGATTCTGTGAGCATTCTGCTTTGTTCCCCGCTTGCCCCCGAGACCGAGTTAATTAATGAGTCACCCTCCATTGTGCCTCCACCATGTGCCACGCTCTCCTCTCTGTAGTGCCTGGCATGCCACAGGGCAGGCTGGCAGTTATGTACTCCTGTCAGCCCTCCTTTCTAGAACCCAAGCTTCCTGAGGGCAGCATCTCATTCACTAATCACGAGGCCACCCACAGCAGGGCTCCCAGATGGCCGTGGATCATTCCAGACATCCACTCCCCATTCACTTTACCTCACTGCTTCTCTCCTATTTAAACCATATAGCGAGATCAGTGCCTGGTCCAGCTCAGGTTCCGGAGGTATGGGCAGGGGGAGGAACAGGGCATGACGGTATAGAATGGCCCAGAGCAGCTCTGGGTAAAATGCTCAGCACCCGTTAGGGGGGAGGGGATATCTTTCACTGCTTGTTGTTTTTAAAGAAATGAAGCCAGTTCTCTCTAATTTTCCCACAAACCTCCAGCTTGACTAAAATTCTATACTAGTGCATACTTTTCAGTATTATAACATCTCTCAGGCTCCCGTGTACCTTTGTCTGCAGAGTCCTTTCCCCCAGCTTTCCAGTTCCATCTTTTCCCCACTCTTTTTTGAGGTGTAGCTGACACACAAGGTTGCGTTAGTTCTCGGGTGTACGGCACAGTGATCTGGCGGGTCTGCACCGTGCGGTACGCTTACCACACGCGCAGCTACCACCTGCCACCAGATACCACTATTACAGGATCATTGACTATATCCCTATTCTGTGCCTTTCATCCCAGTGACGTATTCACTTCGTACCTGGAAGCCAGCACTTCCCAGTCCCCTTCAGCCACTCTGCCCATCCTTCCACCCCCGCTCCCCTCTGGTAACCACTGGTTAGTTCTCTGTGTTTATGAATCTATTTATGCTTTGTGTGTTTGTTTTGTAGATTCCACATATAAGTGAAATAATATGTTTTCAAATTCTTTGTGAAACACAGTAGGACCCCAACACATTCCGTCAAAGTCACCCGGGGCCCCACGCGGTGTCCGGGGCGCAGTGAGGACCCAAACACGCCCTGAATGAACGAATGATGAAGGAACAGGACAGAAAGGCGGGTGCAGCTCTTGTGTGGGTGCCCTGTCATCCTGTCACTCGGCAGCCAAAGGGCAGCAGGTGCCTTCTACGCACTCCGCAGCTCCTCCCGTGCTGCCGCGGGATAACGAGACTCCACACTCTGGAGCTCTCGGGACCTCTTCCAAGGGCATCTCCTGCCAGTCCGGGGGTTCGCTCCATAGCAGAGCTGAAGACTGGGGCGCAGAGGAAAGCGGTCCAGCAGCGTGCCGGACCCCACAGCGGGCAGCGGGCCTGGCGCGGGTCCTGCGCTCCCGCTCGCAGACCACGCCGCCTTCCCGGTGACAGTGCCCACGAGATGACCCCGCAGAGGTCCTTTCCTTTCCTAGCTGCGAAGATGCCCGCAGGGTTTGGCTCGTGGTCACAGGCGTTTCGGGATGCTTCGAGCGTAGCTTCCAGTCCCGAGGGGACCGGCCACCCCCCCCCCGGCCCCGCCCCACCCCCCGGAGCTGTCCCTCCTCCCGGGACTGCACGCGTCCCGGCCTCCCTCCCGCAGCGTCGCCGCAGCTCCTCCTAGTCTCGTCCTGCCGGGCCGGGAGGCCCCACCTTCCCCTTTTCCCCTCCGGAGGCTCCTACACGAAGCCAGGAGGAGCCCCCGGCACGGGGGCGGGGAGGAAAGCCCCGCGGCCCGCAGGTGGAGGCGGACACGCCGATCCTCGATCCTCGGGCTGCGTCCCTGCATGGGCCAGCGCGGCAGCAGGTCTGGGCAACCGCGAGGGCCGCCTCTTGGCTTTCCTACAAGACGCTCCCCTCTCGGGGCGCCCGGGCCCCCTCCCTCGGCCCCTCCTCCGTCCTCTAAGGACTGGCCGCGGGGTGCGGTCCGTGAATTCCGAGAGCGGGGGCTGGGCCGGGGGACACACCCCGGGTGCGTTGAAGGGGGGCGGGGGGCAGGCGCAGCTCCTCGGGCGCCGCCCTCGTCCCGGCCTCTGACCCCAGCCGCAGCCCTGCTCACGCCCCGCGGTCAGCTCTGCGGGGCCCCGGCTTCTCCCCTGCGCCCCTTCCCACGCCCCGTTCCGGGTACCTCCTGGGGCAGCAGGGGCAGCGCGTGCCCCGCCTGCGTGGCCGTCGGGGTGGCCGGCTCCACGAAGTCGTCCTCGGCGTCGGAGCTGGACATGGCACCGTCCGCGCGACGGCTGTCTGGCTCCCGCCCCGTGACTGCCACCATCCCTCTGGCTCTGCACAGTGGGCGCGGCTGCGGGCGGGCGGCGGCGGCCCGGGCACTAGCGCCGAGCAGCGCCAGGCATGACGCGGCGCGGCCGAGGGGCGGGCCCCGGGGGCCGAGGGCGCAGGGTGCGGGGGCGCGGGGGCAGCCACTCCCTCAGCGCCGAGCGGCTCGCCGACCACCGCGCGCGCCGCTGGGCCACCGGCCTGACCCGGCAGCCTCCTGCTATTGGCCGACGCGCCTCTTGCCCCGCCTCTGATTGGCAGGAAGCTCGTCCAGTCCGAGAGCAGGCAACGCATCGGCCTGCGCCTGAGTGGCCACCGGGAGCCGGGCTGCGGGCCCGCCCTGCCCTGATTGGTCGTAAGGCCAGCGGACGCGCCCTCTCCACCCGCCACTCTCGTTCGGCGCGCAGGGCGGGTGCGCGCGCGGCCGCCGCGTCTACGCGGGCTCTCCTCGTTGGCTCCGAGGGTGGTGCCCGCGTCGGGGTCGGCGCCTCCTCGCTGGAGAGCAGGCAGGGCCCGCGGCCCAGTGGTTGATCTGTGGGCGGCGCCGTCGGCCTTGGGCCCCCTGAGGCGCGGAGAGCCGGGGAGGCCCGGGGCGGGGAGAGCAGGCCGCCGCGGTGGAGGTGCGGGAGTAGCGCGGAGGGCGCGGAGGGCGCGGCGGCAAGGGGCGGAGGCCAATGAGGTGTGAGGTGCGGAAGGAGGCGGAGGACGCGGAGGGTAAGGTGGGCGGGTGCGGAGGCAGCTGAGGTGCGGGAGAAGCGCGGAGGACGGGGAGGTGAGGCGGGAGGGGGCGGCGGCCGCTGAGGTGCGGGAGGAGCGCGGCTCGGGCACGGGGCCCACGGGGGCGAGCCTGGGCTCCCCGCACGTCCCGCGTGAGTCGGGCAGGAACCAGGGAAGGGAGAGCGCGGACGCGGAGAAACCGAGTTCCGTCTCGGGAATCCGCCCGAGAAGGCCGCGGGACTGACGGCTGGCAGGGGGGTGGCTCCGGCTCCGGAAGCGGGGCTGCGCGGAGCGGTGAGAAGACGGCCCCGGGAGCCCGTCAGGACGCAGGGAGGCCCGCGGCCACCACCCCTGCCCGGCGCTCGCACTGTGCTGCAGCTCTCGCTCCGCGGTGCCGCGGACCTTCCCGTGGGAACGGGGTTTCCCGGTCCTTCCCGCGTGCGCGGGGGAGCTCCAGGGGCCGCGGCCCGGGGGCGGCCCTGCACAATGAGCGGGAAGGTCCGGAGCCGCCTTCCCGCACCGCAGGGCGGTTGGCGGGCAGCGGCGTCTCCACCCGACCGTGCGGCGGCTTCCAGGCCCGGTCACAGGAGCGCCGCGGGGAGAGGCCCCACGAGACGTCGGGAGGGACGGGGTGCGGAGCCGAGGCCGGTGCAGAGGCGGGGGCGCCTGCAGGACCCCCGGGGTCACTTCTCCGAGGGCAAACCAAGCAGCAAGCCCGACTCGAGCGACCGCTGCTCTTGCCCGTGCCTCTCGGAGAGACGCGCCGAACGCGATCTCGGAGGACTGATTGCCACGGAATCTGCGCGCCCCGTCCCGTCTCCTGGAGTAAATAAAAGGAGATGAAAACAAACAGAAGCGCCCCCCGTCTTCTCCGTGTTGCCGTCTTAGTTTTCATTTCGACTCCGCACACGTCAGCAGTCGTGGACAACAGGAACGACACCCTGTCCCAGCTCCCGGCTCATGGAGCACCGCGCTGCACGGGACTCGCCCCCTGATCTCCCTGCCCCTCTCCTAAATACGGTATTACTCCATGCGGGTTTCTCTTTCTTTGGAATCACGACACAGAAATGCAAAACCATATGTGTATAGTGTGAAGAGTGACTATAAAGCAGAAACTCAATCGAGAGCCAGAACATTGCCAGCCCCCACATGCTCCAGGGGTCCCTCCCTGGTGAAGATAACCTCCATTCTCCCAGAGGTCACCATCATCCTCACTTTTCTGACAACCCTTTCCTTGTTTTCCAAGCTTAACCACTCGTCTACATCTCCAAGCAATGCAGTTTAATTTTAGCTGTTTTTAGACTTTATTTTTTTCAAGATCTATTTATTTTAGAGAGAGGGAGAATGGGGGGAGGGGCAGGGCGTGAAGGAGAGAGAATCTCAAGCAGGCTCCCTTCTGAGCTCGGAGCCCGACATTTTATCTTCTCCCCTATCCTACCCAGATCCTGTGTATCTATTTAAGCATCTCCCTGAGGAATGCCTTTGTGTGTTCCCTTTCCAGCACCTGACAAAATCCACCAGATTAACCCATCAGCCTTCCATGCTCTGCTTCTGGGTGAGTGCCATCACCATGTGAACTGGTACCACTATAAATGCATGATTAACAGTGCCACTGGGCCATCTGTCCATGGTTTCTTCTAGTCACTCTCGCTTTTTTAAAAAATTGAGATATAATTGACATATAACATTATACTGGTTTCTGGTGTACAAACAGTGTTTGAATATTTGTATGACTTGCAAAAGGCTTACCACAATAAAACCCATCAATATCTAAGTCAGCTTCCTCTTCTATTTCCAATCTGATTATTCTTTCCAAGATCCCTCTGCACCCCAGGAAATCGCTCCTCCTTCCAGCAAATGGCAGTCTGGCTTTTACTGCATAGAGCAATGAGGCTATCAGGCCTAAAGAACTCCCTGCACTTCCTACCATCTCCC